GTCTTCGATGTTTGAATTCTTAAATTGCAAAACAACGGTCCACTAACTCAGATAAACCTATACTTATAGGCGAAAAATAATTTTATAACCGGGGTAAAACATGAACAGAAATTCGAAATTTTGATGCTTGTCTTACTTTGTGATTGTTTTGATTTCTCAAGTCAATACATTAGTAAGTTACAGGTTAAGTAGATCGCCTCTGATTGGTTCTTAACCTACTAAGCCTGTCATTTGTTTGGCTTAAATGCTAACCATTTAGCTTTTTTACAAATGCTAGAAATCCAAACTTTATTACAAACGGAAATTCACGGTTATGCAGCCTTAAGCACTATTTATTTTGACTGCTTTGCTCTTAACGCAAAAAACTCGATGACCACAAGTATTCACCTATTCATTCTCCTGAAGGACGTTGCAGGTATTTTGGCGCAGCTGTCTGCATTAAATGCAAAAAACAACTTGCATGGATTTAGGCGATGCTCCAGCATCCTATTGGTCAGCTAAACATGCACATTTGTAACATTTAAGAGATACATTTTGCAGCACCTCACCTATGTTATAACAAATCCTGCGGTTCTGATTAGAATGTTAAAGCACAGTTATTTTATTGTTGAGATATGCAAACACTTGGAAAAAAGTAACTTAAATGCGGCTTTTAAACTTGCAGTACACTAGGAGTCAATATGTCAGAACTTGTAGAATGATGTAGCTCCATTAGAAATTCACTTATTTTATTATTAATTGACCTAAATTGGAACGCTACACCGATGGGTCACTTACAAAAAGATGTTTATCTGACCACATTAATGTAATTTTGCTGACTAATTTGTGAACATACATTGTTGGGAACGCATTATAGAACATGAAACTGAATCATGATTATCTATTGTATTTTCACAAAATGAACATTCATTTAGACAAAAATTCACCAAAGATGTAAATGCCTTTGGTGAAACAAAATAACGTGACAGCAATCCGTTGTTTTAAAGAATGCTTTAATGCAATTGATTGAAAAAAACTTTTCATAGTTTGTCTTCATCCAATAGTAGTTTCTATCATCTGACAAACTGATAAATCTAAGTGAGCATTGAATAAGTTATGTGGTACAATTATCGGTGTTTCATTGGCATTTATGCCATTGCTTCGGAAAGAAAAACGTTTCTCAACATGTATATTAAAACAGCAGATGTGGGCAGTATTTTATCGATCAGAAGAGGAACATTTGTCTTCCACTACGGCCCAATTCTTAAACTCTTACGTATTTTTTAAGTTCAAACCTTACCTTTCCTTCTCAAGCACTACCATTTGAAACATTGAAATATTCACGTGTATAGGTGAAAGGAGTCTGCAACATACTTTCTAAATGGATGATAACGAAACAAAAATGTGCAAAAAATAGTACAATTTTATTTCAATAACTGCATGTCGGCATCAACATCCAAGATGCTGGTAGTAAGAATCGACACACATTCATCATCCCAAGGATGTATTTTGCAAAACCAACGTGGTCATGTAACAATCGCAAGTACATACAACATTTCACGCCCATAGAAATACATCACAGAGCAACTTGCGATCGGACAGTTGGCTTTCTCAAAAGCAAAGGATGTGTTTTCGTGCACCCGACAGGCTTAAGTATAGGGTATTTGCGTAAATAGGGAATAAACGATTTCGTAGAATCGAAGTCGACTAAAGAAAGCAGAGAATCTTACAAGGAGCAGAAAAGGCGAAAAGCCACGCAGATCATTATTGAACAATGCAGATGTTGATGAGTTTGGAATTCCAGAAATTCAAAAAAGACACGTAGAATCGTAAATAAAAGGAATGATGGATCAAGTAACATCAACTTCAAAAGCATTGAGATTTAAAGACTAAGCACATATAGAGAAGTTCATTGTGTTTTTAAGCAGTTCATCGGCACAAGTTTGTCCTGAGATCTCCAGTTGACAAAAGGAAGGTTTAGATCAGTTAAAATCTTGGTTCACAAAGTGTCACTGCGTAGTAAATTAAAATGATCCTTACCTCCTAGATTTTGTAAATTTTTTTAAATGTAGGTTTTCCCATGATAAATAACCTACATACAAACTTCACCTAGTCACCATTTCAGTTGTGGCTGTTTCATGGAGAGAACTCGCTTTGTATGTGCTATTATTAGTGATTTTTTTTCAACCATTCAAAACTTATCGGAGCTTAACGATTACATTTTTTGAATCAACCATGGACTAATTTGTCTGCTGATTTTGGATTGCCCTAAAATTTTATATTTTGTTTTGCTCGACTTTAAATTTAAGTTACTCAGATTACATTTTTTTATCTAATTTGAGGATCATTGGATTTTTTGAAGTAGTTCTGTGAGATATTTAAAAGAGTTTATACTTTTTTAGAAGTCGAAGTCGCTGAAATGACAGGGCATTGTCCAAATTTGAACAAAACGGTGTGACTATTTAAAAAAACCGAATACATTTTTTTAAATGCACTTAACAAATTAGTTGAATTTTCTAAACTTAACGTGTGAAACTCACTTTGTTAATTAAATACACAAAATAGATATTGGGAAAACAAATCTGTGATTTTTTAACCTTCATTACAGCAAAAGAGCTTTATAAATTTTTCGTTTTAAAATTTCCTGGGTTTAAATACCTAAGCAATGGCAACGAGCTAGATCGTGCCTTTAAGTAATTTTCTTTGTCTGACTCAAAATTATGCCACTAAGAAATATTCTTAGGGAAACAAAAAGTTCATTATTTAGTAACTTTTACTGCATGCAAACGAAGCCGTGACCGGTTAAAACATGTACCCGAAAGCACCCATTAATTCTAACTGCCCAGTTGGAATGCCAGACTATACCACACGAATTCATGATAGCTTTGGCTTATTTATTATACTTTACGGCAATTTTTCTACTTAACAGGGATTCTGATTCTATTTATGAGGGCATCACAACAAAAAATGTATCTTTTTGGAAGCATACCTCATCGAGAATGCTCTTATCTAATTACTTGACACAAATCATCCTTCCCCTGACGAACTATAGATTACACTAAATATAAATGACAAAGTCAAGATTTGACTTGCTTCAACGTACGTCTCACCGCCG